TTCGAAAGGATTTTTATTGGCTAAAAATATGATAGGTTTAATGGGCAAGAAAAACTGCATCAGATGAGTTACTGCATAATGGATTTGGTAGTGGGCGGATTTGTGGTCTTATCGTCCCCCGTCCTTTGGTATTAGATGTATCCACTGATGTATCTGTAAAATAAAGCTATCTGCATCGAGTCTCACTAGACGGACTCATAGAGTAAAAATATTTTTTCTGATGCGAAAATTTTTTTTTTTTTAGGACGATGATTATTTAACGTCCGTTTTGCGCAGATGTGCATTTGGAATTGGGTGGCGAATAAATGATTATGTGAACATAAAGATTACAAGAATCAAACACTAATTCAGATCGTTCACAACGAAACAAAAAACAGGTGGCACAATCGTAAAACGTATTGCATCAATTCATATGTTAGATAAATTAATGATTTTCCTTGCGGTGGTCTGTTGTAAACGTATTGTAGAAATTTATTAAAAAATGAAAGAGCAATGTACTAGTTGAATTGTATGCATTTTAGATATTGGTTCCTTTCAATTACAGCTGATAATAACAACAGTCGTGACAATGCTAATCTAATTTTAACACTTTTACAACAAAGTCCACTCCGTAGTCAAACAACAATACTATTAGATGAACAAGTATCTGAAGCTTAAAGACGTATAGATAGAAAAGCAATGTTTATATATTTCATAATGCATCAGCATTTTCAACTAACTAACTGTTACACACTAGATAAATGGATATTATTTTAACCTTCAAATATTTACATCGCCTTCTAAAAGATGTCTCTGGCGATTTATTGATCATATCTATCTGTATTCAAATAATCCTCAATAAAAATTTGAAGTTTTCTTGACTGAATTACGGATAGTTTTCAAAATGAGTCAAACGTGAATTAAGAGTTACTACTTTTCCATGTCATGTCATTACTCATTCGTGTAATAGTCAAAGCTTCACTTAGACGTCTGAGAAGTCTAACCACATATAGAATGTTAGACTTTTGTTCGACTTTTGCTGAATTAATTCTGACGTTTACGCTGTATGAGAGCTTATTTTTGGTGGTGATGGAGGGTGGCGGTGCATGAAAGTGGGCCACTAGAGGACTTCCAGTGGCTGTGGACGTTTGTGTTGTGTAAAGCGTCAGTATTTGCATCTATCTTATACGCTATCAGTGAATGAAGCTTGAGTATTGGTTAAAAGGTATAACTCTTAAGCTTTGGCGAAAGGATTTTCTTGATTTATGAGAAATCCTCAGTATAATAGAAAAAAGTGTTAGATGAGGCAGAAGTCATCTCTAGCTGTCACTTTCGCAGTATCCGATTAGATATGGTATGAGTATGTAATTTGCATTGATTCTTTTATCTTCTTGATGCCTCGATGACAAGAATATGTTTTGATTTTTAAAGAAAATTCTGGTTTTTGTTTCGTGTCAGAATAGTCAGGTCTTCCCAAATAGTTCAGGCTTATGTCTGAAGTCTAATGGTTCTTGGAATTTACACTACTTATTACTCTTGCATTCATAATGCACTCACATACAAAAAGAAATAAGACACGCCAATTGAATTTGATAGGATATTATAATGACTACCTTATAGTGATCATAAAGAAAGAAATGATAGTAATTGAAAGAAAAATATTTGACTTTTTTAGTCTAAATGATAAATATTTGGTAGGAAAATAATGAAGATTCTTGTCTTCCCAAAATACTCTTAATTTTTCTGATACTCTTAATTTCCTCTGTTTACATTACCATTATATACGCTTCTTATAATCAGTCTATTGAAATCATTCAAGTACAAACACAATAAGTTAGAAAGAAGAGATAGAAAATATATCTACCATACTCGTTCATTTTTTCGAGTAGCGTATTCAATAAACATACAAGATTAAGAAACTATAAAAGAAGAAGTGATTTTTTATTCATATATGAAGCGCAAATTCTCGACAGAGACTATATCTCTATCTCTCAGTCATATGTGTCAACAACAACACAATACACGGAGAAAATATCATCAATGCTACTAATAATCGACGTTTCCATAACCTGTAATTCTTCCTCTTTCTATATATAAAAGGAGATGTTATATTACCTAGTTACTCTTATTATGTTGACCAAAAAAAATATATTTTTTCTCGTCGTTAAATGAATCTACACCCTGTATCGTAAGTGGAGAAGAAAAGTTGTTCTGTGTATGTACATTGCATCAATTATATATAAATTATTACTTCAAGAGAAGAAGTAATACGAAAACGAGACAAAACAACAAACAATCATTTCAAATAAAGATCTGTCACATATATCTGTAATTTAATGGTCACGACAAATAACAGCATCTGTAGTAACGATCAAGTAGACTAATGGCCAATAGACCAACGGGTGCTGATGGTAAAATTCTATCCGATAAACGTAATCAAGAAATTTTTCATATTATTAACGATAAAGACGAAGTTAGAGAACCATCTCAATTTGGTTTTGTATATGAATTAAAATCAGTTAATGTTAAACAAGGTGAACAAGCACGATTTGAAGCAAAAATTCGTCTAGTATCAAAGACAACGTATATTAATAAAAATTTATTAAATGTAGAATGGCGTTTAAATGATGTACTGATATCACCAACAAATCCTCGGTATTGCTTTGGCTTTAAAAGTGATGAATGTCGATATTGGTTAGATATTCGACAATGTGAACAAGTTGATCAAGGTGTTTATACAATACAAATTCAATATAATAAATTACATGACGAATCATCAGCGTATTTATTTGTTGATAGTAAGTTTATTAAGTGGAATTATCAGAGAGAAATGTAATTATTTTGTTTTTAGTATTTTCCTTTTTTTTTGTGAAGTATATATATATATGTATGTGGAAGATGAAATTGTTTTGTTCACAACATATATCCGTATGTACGTATGAGAAATCCATAGACCTTGAACAACGACAAATTGTTGATAAAAAACATCTAGAGACGCTTTGCAGATGTCTATTGATATGTCAGATGTATAATCAATAGATGCCATCTTGTAAAAGCTCATCATCATGTTCTACTGACTTGCTAGAAATAAAATAATTGGGAGCAATTCGATGTATCCATGTGAAATCTATGACTTTCATTATCAGGGAACAAACTACACACAATTTATAAAGCACTAAAAGGTAAGATTTTCAGCGAAAATCGAATTTTTGTAGATGAGTAAATTTGCATTTTACTTTTTTTGGTAAAATAGTGTCGGTTTTATTCCCTATTTTGTCAACTGTCAACACTTTCCCTCTATCTCTCCTACCATACTGAAACAACAACTCATACATCAATTGATTCTGATAAAATAAAATTTTCTTGATGAATGTACTCTAAAGATCTATTGGTTTCTCAGGTGTTATCAAGCATTTTTTTCATCCAAAATCAATGAAAATATTTCTTATAGGTAATTTTTGATGTTGAATATTGAATACGCTATAAAGTTTTGTATTGTGAAGATTCCTTATTGTACGATTTTTATTCACATTTTCCGTCAGTGTCTGAAAACTTCACTAGTTTTTTTTTCGCATAATGAATATCATTAGATAATCGATTGTCGTGCATTTATAGTAGATACAATATGTTTTCCTTATTTTGGACAATTGATCTATTGAAATTGAATAAATTTGTTTTTAGATTAATCATAACGATGCCCGTAGCTTCCTCAATGCGCCCGAAATTTAAGCTAATTAGTATAAAAGTGGTCACTTTTTAAAACGGGTAAATTTATATTATTCTGCGTTTGCAAAAAGCGGCAACTTTTTTATAATTTGAAATATAGATATATAAATTAATCGCTTTCTAGAAAAAATAGAAGTAGAAAGATAGATATATAATGAGAATTGGTGACTATATTACGCAGCTGTACTTAAAAAGCTAATGCTTATATAATATAATTGGACGATCATCAGAATAAGTACCAATTACCAGAGCAAAATGATTAATTCTGATTAATAATTAGTAAAACATATCCTAACGATTATTTCTCGCAAAAGAATATTTAATAGCATGATTAGTCGTTGCAAAATTTGATCATGAGTTCTGTCGGCTAGGGGGCCAAAAGAGATAATAAATTGAGTAAAACCCAAAAGAAACAGACAATAAGTTTTATTCCTAAAAGAGACAATAGAACGAAAACTGTGAAAATTTTGTAATTCCAAAAGAGATAATAAATTTGATTAGTAATCAAGAATGAAAAAAGTTAAATTTTTGTGTTTTCAAAGGAGATAATATAAAATGGGTATATATTTTATTCTCATGACAAAATTAATCAGAATCAGCATCATTGTTTTTTTTTTCATATTCATATAAAGAACAATAAGCTTTTCTTCGTGTTAAACGTTTATAACTTTCAATATCTTTTGTTATTTCATATCGTTGTTTAGCTTCACTAAGTTGTTCTTCATGAATTATACTAGATTTTGCAATTTTTTTTGAAGGTAAGCCTTGAAAAAGATCTTGTTCACGATTATAATGTGCATCTTCCTCTTCGTTTTGTATATTTTTCACCCACATCCATATATTTGGGTGTGTTGATAATTTTTTCCTGCAGTAGAAACAATAGCAACTGTTAGTATTTTCCTGCGTTCTGTAATATTCGAATGAAAACAATTACGAATTTGATTCTGCTTGATTTTGATTTTATGAGAATAAATATATACCTAAATATACACCTACGTTCGTTTGTTTTTTTCATTCTCTATTATCTCTTATGAGAACACAAAAATTTCAAAACACAAAAAAAATAAATTTGTTTTTAGATTAATCATAACTATACCCGGAGCTTCCTAAATGCGCCCGAAATTTAAGCCAATTAGTATAAAAGTGGTCGCATTTTTCATTATGCTATATACACTTAACACAATTATAACAGTAGTCATTTTTTGTTTCTTTTATTTAAATGTATGTTCAAATATGGTGCCTATGGTGTTGTGCAATGCTCATGATAAATGTTGTGACGTCTACTTACACAACCGTATTTACAAAACATGAACACTTTCTATGTTCAAGATTAACATTCGAATCGGTAGTGGGATCTTCGCCACAAGACCAAACATTGTATCATATGCGAATTCAGCATGAACAATTTCTATAGAAAACAATGCCAATTGACTATGGATGAAAGCAATACTCTTGAGAATACCTGAGAAATCAATAGATCTTTAGAAACGTTTTTTCAGAGTACATTCATTAAGAAAACTTTAAGAATTCGTTTTTGCAGAAAATCATCGATGATGAACGATTATGTTGAAGTGATTGGGTTTAACTAACGACAACACACCAATCAGATGTATGTAAGACAAAGTGCATCAAGCAGAGAATTTGTTCTACTTTTTCTCAAGAGATGCTGTCTGGTTAAATACGATAATTTTAAGCATTTGAAAGAAATGTATTTGAGAAGAAAGGATTTGCTTGTTTTTTCTGCCGAATACTTGGTACATATAGGAGAGATAACGGTCAAGAATGCATTGATCATGTTCTTCTTTGTCATGCTTGGAACAGCCTCGTTCCGTTGTGTAGATGATTTTTCAAGACGACATTCTTCTCTGGTATATAAAGAACAATGATTTCCCAGTCTGTACAACAGAACTATTCTTAAAATAAACTGCTAATGAAAATAAGACCGATAAATTGATCCTACTTAAAATACGATAGTTCAGAACATCTTATTCCGTCTTGTACGGATGTATCCAACTAATCGGAAACGGACTTATACCGTCTTAAAATACGACGGTCAGTGTTTAGAGTGCTCTCAAATATTAATACCATCCTTCTCAGAAAATCAATCTAGACATAAATATCATTCACTCAGCCTTAGTACCGACCACAGATTGACTCAGAACTATTTAATCATAATTATACCCGTTTTGGTAGTGTATGATATACATGTGTCTCAAGTGTTGGATAATTAATTTAAATCCACAGCCTACATAAAGATTGAGGACACTTGAGGAAATCTACTGTTTCTTCTGTGTTTCTACGGAGCTGTTGCTGTTTCAGAAGAAACAAATGGAAGTTATCAGTGTGAAACTTAATGGAATTTTAGAGAAATTAGCAGAGATTAACAAGCTCAGCGTATGAAGTAATAAAATTGTCAGAAAAAGCAATCTACGTTTTTAGGTGAACTCACGAGAATCCAATGTTAGAGGCCAGTAATATCAATAATTGTTGTGCCTGCATGGTTCAGTAGCGAGCGTGTTCGTCTGGTTAGCGAATGGATCGAAGTCTTGAATACATCTATAACAATTGGCAACAAATGGTTTAACAAATAACTCAAAACCAATCTTGGACTTGTGGTACTACCGACTTCGTATTACGATTAAAATCGTAACAATTTCGAGTCATAGATCAAAAAGAGGTAAACGGTGATAGATCAAAATTGGAGTACATCATCCAAGGTCAATTTATTTGCATCATTCGCGGCGCGTACGCGGTTCTCGATCGCGTTGCATTCGTTCAACTCACGTCGCGATCGCTAAAAATTCACTATTGTCATGGTAAGATCGCGATCAACTCTAATGTTTCAAAAACCTTGGAATTTGTCTTCGTGACATGACAAGGAGTCGCGCTGTGACTCATGTCAAGATAATTTTTCCAGTAAAGTTTTGAAGTCGTACCGTAATCGCATTTTTCGTTTACAGCAGCGATATTGAATTACGTAGCGTCGGGGCACTCGTGTCAATTCCAACCAAGGTTTTGTTGTGCACAGACTCAAAGTATATAATTTCTACTGATTTTCGAAAAATTTTCAAAGTTTTCTCGTATCTCAGCAATTATTCGTCGTATAGACAAGTCGACAAATATTAGCCTTGAACTTGACTTAATTAGAATTTTTAATTATGAGTACAAAATAGAAATAAGAGTGGTAGTGAGGAAAAGTGACCACTTCATGAATCTTGCATCCCGTCGCGATCGCGGTAAGAATATCGCGACTTACTTATTGTTAGTGAGCGGAAATCGCGAAAAAAGCAGCTACTGCGGTGAAATATTCGAATGCCGATGTTTTTCATATGAGCGCGACTTAACCACGATCGTGTCTTATTTTGCGAGTCTTACAGCGAACGCATTACGCGTTTCCATGGCGACTTTTTTTAGCGACTCGTGTCGCGCCGGTTGATAGGAAAGTTGAGTTTATTCGAGTATTTACTGCGCAATCAAATTCAAGGGTAGATGAAATGACTGAAAAAATCGGTCATTCGCAACTCAACCAAAAACGACACTTTTCTATGAAATTAAACATTATCTAGCGTATGACCAGTCGTATAGAAACGTCATAATATCAGTCAATATAGACTTAGAAAATAAATTTAGCTATTTCTACTGAGCTTCGCAAACTTGGTCGTTATGCATGCGTCTGCTCTACAAAAAGTAGGATATGGTGCAGAATACGTACAAAATAAAGACAATGGAAGAAACGCTTGGCTGAAGTATTTCAAGTAAATTACTTGGAGAAGTCCACAAGTGCTGTTCTCATTACTTAACCCAAGTACTTGGTTGACACATTCACTAGGGGTTGCACAAGTTTATAGTTCGCTCTAAAACAATTACAGCCCACACCACAGATTATAAACTACCGAACTCTTCGCCATTAATGGATTATTATTTTCGTATTTTACGGGCAAATTTTTATCGAACGAGAGAATCGGGGCCGAAAAACCTCCCATCCATTTCTAATGCAAACGCAGAGAAAATTTGTAGTTTTGATAAAAAACTAAAATTGGAAAAATAGTGAATGCTACCCAAGTCAGTATATAACGATGTAAGGCGCAGTGTTTTCGTTTCTTTTTAATA